TTCTGATGAACCCTTCAGGCTGGCTCATGAGGAACATCTTCCCCTCCAGCGCCATCTTGGCCAGAGGCAGCCATGCTCCTTGGGGGGTGACCAGGCTGCAGAGGCCAGTTGGCCTGCAGCTAGGTCTGGAAATTCGCAGACCTTGGACCTCTTTTTGGAGAAACATGATTTTTGTTGCCTAGAGAGCGACCCAGGCGTGTGTGTGAGTGTGTGTGTGAGTGTGTGCGTCTGTATTGGGTGTGCCCTTGCCTTGAAGCTACAGAGGCACTAACCGTGTCCTTCTCCACTGGAACACCCTCCACTGACCTCCAGACTAGCTCTGGCCCCGAGGACAGCAGGCCTCATTCATCTTCATCACTCAGGGTGACGGTGGTAGTGGATGTTAAAGCTGCCATTTATGAAGGTCCTTATGTGCCAAAGTCGCAGAGAAAGCTGTTAAGAAGCCAAGATGGGTCTCCAGAGCACCATCCAGAGCCAGGCTGCTCGGGTCCAAGCCTCCTGCGTATGCAGCCGAAGGAAAGGAAATGGACGCATTGAACGGCACTGTGTGCTCCATGCAGGGTCCTTCGTGACGGCCAAGATGTAAATCAGCCCCAGTGGCCATCAGTGGGCAGATAGATAAAGAGAAGGTGATTTCCAGGCTCAGTGGAGGCTCATGACCTTCGAAACACGTGAATTCTGTTGTTTGCAATAACACGGATGAAACCAGGCCCGGAGAGACAGGATGCCACTGGATGTCACTTATATGTGGAATCTTGAAAAGTCAGACCCATAAAAATCGAGTAAAATGGGGGTTAAACAGAGACTGGGAGGTGGGAGGTGGGGGGATTGGGGAGGTGTTGGTCAAAGGACACAAAATTTTAATTAGACAAACATGTTCATGAGATCTATTTGTATGTGCTGGTGAATTTAATTATAAGGATGCATTTGATACTTGAAAAACAACAGATTTTAAGTGTTCTCCCCCCCCACACACACACACAAATGATAAGTATTCAAGGTAATGCGGATGTTAAATCACTTGATTTAGCCACTCTGCAAAGTATACATATTTCAAAATGTTGTATGCGATAAATAC